CTGAAAAGGTGTATTTTGTTATCGCTTGTAATTTTCTATTTTTATACCGCAAAATGGGTCGTGGTGCTGTACTAACTTCGGAGGAACAGGGGGAAAAATTGGCTTATCGAGACAGCAATTTTACAACCAGGCAAATAGCAGAAAAAGTGTCTAGAAGTCAGACTGTTGTGTCTCATTTCCTTAGAAATCCATCTAATTATGGGAAAAATATGACAAAGCCCAACAGAAAAGTGCTTAAGCCTTGCGAAGAGCGCAGAATTCTCCGGGAAGCCTCAAATTCAAAGTGCTCTGCAGTGAAAATTCGTTCATATTTAGAATTAAATGCAAGTATAGCAACTGTACGGCGTGTGATAAGAAATGCAAAACATCTAAAAAGATTAAAACTAAAGAAAAAATCACCATTTACAGACGTTCGTAAACATGCTCGCAAGGTTTTTGCTCGGAGTCACATGACATGGAATAGTGAGTGGTACCAAATCGTGTTTTCTGATGAAAAACGTATTAATTTGGATGGCCCAGACGGGTTCAACTACTACTTCCATGACGTAAGAAAGGAAGAACTCCATTTAATTCGTCACCATAGTCGTGAGGGAGGTATAATGGTGTGGGGTGCAATCTCTTATTATGGACCATTCGAACTCCAGTTCGTTTCATCCAAGATGAATGCCACACGCTATAGAGCGCTGCTCGAAAAAGCTTTTCCACATTTTTTAAACCTTTTTGGGCCATTACCATGGACATTTCAACAAGATAACGCCCCGATTCATACTGCTCGAGCCGTAAAAAAGTGGATTAAGGACCAAAATGTAACCTTAATGGATTGGCCTCCATACTCTCCTGATCTGAATATTATCGAGAACGTGTGGGGATGGCTCTCCCGTAAAGTCTACCAATCTGGCAGACAATTTGAAGACATTGTATCATTAACAAATGCCATTAAGAGCGCCTGGAGCGATCTCTCATTGGATATTCTTAAGTCTCTTTACGATTCAATGCCAAACCGAATTTATGAAATAATTTCAAATAGAGGTGGATACACACATTATTAATTAACCTTAAAAATTTGAATTAAAACTGAATTTTTGGAAGATTTTGTTTTTTATATTAGTGCTAAGTCGTTGAATCTATTCCGTTGATCGATAAGAAGTCGTTAATTTTCAGGTTCACTTAGAAGAAGTAGTATTAAACAAAAACCTTTTCACATAGATCTCTAATTTTTTTTAGTTCATTTGAGAATTTAATACTGAATAATAAAAAAATATATACTTTGGTTAATTTCTTCGTATTTTCATTTTAAAACTTCAATATTTCATGAAAATAGCCTGAGTCTATTTCATTGATCGGGAGTGTACTCTGCAATCCCCCAGATGAAGCAAACAAGCGAAATAAATAAAACTAGTGAACCCGCATGGCGATAACACGCCAAAATTGAGCTTAACATTTTAAACAGATGGCAAAACTATTCACAAACCTTAATAAATATTGAAAATGCTTCAAGTAAATTCGTTCATCCCTTTTTGAACGAAGAGAGGTCTCACATGGCGTCGGTTGTTCATTGCCTCAAAACTCAAACCACCGTGNAGATAAAAAATAAAACCTTAATGCACATTTATAATGACGGTGCTGATGACCCTAACAAAAAAAATATTTATTTATAAAAATTAACCCAAACTAATTTTTTCGGTATATTATGGGTATAGTCGAAAGAACATATATTCCCATTAGTTATGGAACCCGATTTCATGTGACTGTCTTCGCAGTAGCGCATTCTGTTAACCCAGTTCTTCAAGACCTTGTTGATGTTTTCGATCTCTATCGTAAGAAATGCCCGACATACGCCTTAAAGACCTGAATCGTTAATAGATTGTTCGCGTTATATCGGTCCTTCACGGCATGGCACAAAAAGATTTAAGGGCGTGAATTCGGGGCCAATTGATTTCATCCAGACAGCTAATAACACAATTACCGAACTTTTTCGCTCAAAATAAAAATCGAATAGATGGCAACCCTAACAAAAATATTTTCAAACTAAAGTTTTATTAAAACTCTTTCTTTTTCCACTCATATTTTAATATTTCATTGAAATTGTGTAAAAGCTAAATAAATTAGTCTTTTCAAACAGGTGGCAACCTTCTGCGTGGCATTTTCAAACTGAAATCTTTACAAGCTCTTTCGCCCGATACTTTGATATATAATTCAATTACCTGAAGAATTAAATTTAATTAAATTTTTTTATCACCTGGCAACCCTCCTAAACAGTTCAGATATAAATCCTTCTCAAACCCATGAACGATTAAATCACCTCTTTTAGTAATTTATTTAACTTAATAATTCATTTAAATTTAGAATTTTCAACAGCTGTGAACTCTCTTCAAACCATCAAACAAAATTTTGATGTTTAAACTGAAGATTTCTTAGCACTCTTTCGTTTAACACCCATATTTTAATAGTGCATATAACTAAATTCGGCTTTTAAAGAAGGTGGCAACCCTTTTCAAAACATTTTCAAATTACTACCTATTTAAACTCCTTTAGTCTGGACCCCTGTGGGGGAACATTTTGTAAATTATCTATGGAATTTGTAAATTACCTATGGCAACTCTTTTCAAAAGGTAAAACCTCATGATTTGCCACCTTACTTTTGAAAATCGAACAAACGGTGTGGATCTGATGGCATTGATTATTAAATTATTTGAATGCAATTTTTTAACATGTGGCACCTCTCTTCGAAAAAGTAAACCCTTATTGCACATCTACAGACCAAGCGCTTTAATCTGACATCTCATTTTTGAAAATCGGGCGAACGGTACAGATCTTTTATGCTGCACAAAAAATCCCTTCGCGTATTATATACATAGATATTGCAGAACATTCTACTTTGCATTCTCCGAAATGAAGCAAAGAAGCGAAATAAAGACGATAATAAAAGTTTAAGTTCGGGCCCAGCCGAACATTAGAGTAGAGTAGTATTAAATATAGTTCTTTTCACCTTTCCGAAAACTACCGCTACATAGTAGGCAGGGGTGGTTTTATCCCTGTTTCAAACATCTTCGATAAACTTATATGGCACTTCTTTTCAAGGGATAAACAATCTGGTTTCTTTGTTAGAAAGGTAAAACACATCTCTTTCAAACAGAGAAAAAAATTTAAATTCGACCAAAAAACAACAAAGTTATAACTTCCTGATTTTGTAACTGAAAAAAAACAAAGTTTTATCATATTTGCTAGTAAAAAGTAGTAAAGTAGAAGTGATGGAGAAAAACTATAAGTACAGTCGTGTCCCATGGGCTATACCAAAACATAATTTCTATATGAGAACCGCTGCATATTTTTTTGTTTACCTTTGTATCACTGTGTAATTGAATCCTGAACTAATCTGACCTTAAATGTAGTTAAATTTTTAACGTTTGCAATTTTAATTAGAGAATCCTGTTTGTTTAAATTTTTTTATTTTATTGCAAATTTGACAAAAATATAGCACCACAACATATTGTCAAGTGTTGACTATTTATGTCTTGTAGTACTAAGGTTTTATTTATTATTATCATAAAATTTCTAGATTTTAGTTCGAATTTTTAAAATAAATGTTTAGTATTCAGGTTTTTAGTCTAATAAATTTAATTATAGTAAAGTGGAAGATTAAAGTTGGCCAAAAATCCCGTTGATTTTTGATAAATTTGTTTACTGACGATTTAACGTTCTTTCCTCCATACAAAATATGAAGCTATCAGAGTTTAGCCGATTTAAATATATCTACCTATGTACATAAATATGTAGCATTGTAATTTTACATTTTCAATCTATCACTTTGGCTACAATCATGGGCGTAGCTAGGTAGGGACAGGGGGGTGCTTGAGCCTCCCCCCCCTAACATTCAAATATTCCTTATATATATATAAAATAATACCCTGAAATGCCAGCTTAATAGGGTCGAGCCTCCCCCCCTATATTTCATTCTGGCTACGCCGATGGCTACAATTGTAGCCAAATGGCAACGCTGATTGTAAATTACACTGTGCGCATGTATGTATGTGCATTAGACTGCATCACTCCCCATACAAAAAAAATCGGTACTTTTTTCCATTGGAATTATAAAATCTATGATATTTTAAGACTTGTGCCAAAATATTTCGGAAAAATATTAAGATTTAAGTGAGCTGGACCAATTTGAAAAGACCTCCAAAAATGGGGGTTTTAATGAATAAAACTAGTTTCCAAAAAAATTTTTTGAAAAAAATCAGCTCAGAAATAAAAAAATAAAAATTCAACGGAATCATAATAATGATATTTTTGATGCTGTTTTTTAACTTTTTTCAAAGATTGCTTTGAGCAAAACTTGAATAACTCAGCCAAGACTTTACCGATTTAGACTTATGAGGTATCATTGGAAAGGTATTTTCTCACCCTTTTATTTTCTTTGCAAATATATTTATTCACGTCCCATTTTTTTGTTGCAAATATTAACACATCTTAGTTGAACTTGTAATTACACTCGTTCATCTTACCTTTCCCTTTCATACTTTGATTGTTTTCAATCCTCATAAAAATCATAAAAATCCTTTCGTGAATTGAGTCGTTTGTAACATTTGCGTGATTCTATTTTATTAGCAATATAACCAAGACGATTTTTTTCAATGACTGAGGTACTGGATTGAGCCACGATTTGTACAAACCGCTCAGTGTTTTGCGAATGACAAGGAAAGTCTAGAATGAAAAAGTTTAATAAGAAGAAATTAGAAAAATAGTTGTAGATAAGTATGCAAACTATTGATTTGATTCGGAAAATAAATACTTTATACCTGGAATTTTGATAACTTTGTCGGAATTGTAAAAAGAAATCAAAACATCATCCGAATAAAATTGTAAACATGGCGGTTCTGTAACATTTCCAACTTCGTCCCAGTCAATTAAATTCGTTAACGACGTAGCATCAAAAATTATTCTTGGCACGAAAACTGACGAATGTTATGAACTCCATGCGCACGAAATTCAAAAATTTTGTCATATCCTTCATTTCGTACTGGTTTATCCTGGTCTGTTATCATTGATAATAAAACATTTTCCGGATGAGCGAAAAACCCATTAATTTGCACAGAGTGTTGTACAGTTTCTTGCATATCTGTAGGCAATTGTCGAATCCATTTAATATACTGTAGTAAGTGTCGGCTGCCATTTATGGCTTTCGGCTTTTTTTTTTATTAAAAACCAAAATGGCGCATAAACCTTTACTACAAAGAATGTAAGTTTTTTTAACTTTTCTGAAGCCACTGGCTTCGTAACATACAGACGAAGTACCCTAGCCGCTGTTGTCGGCCATCGCGAAAGATTCCGAGGACCTGGTTTAATACTTGCTAGATATTCACTGCAAACTCCACTATCGACTGCTCAAACCAAATTAAATAAATATTTTTGATCGGCTCTCAAGTCCCACTCGTCAATATTTTCGGGCATCTCACCCATTGGGATTGGTTCGAAGTTGTGTGCAGCCTTTATTTTTTAAAGAATACAATTAAATAAAGTAGAAAGTATATATGCATTTTTTTAATAAGTCTAAAATAATACAAGATAAGAAAAGGGCAGTAACCGTGGGATACTTACTGGTAAATTTTCGCAATTTTGTAGGGAATAACCAATTAATCCAGGCCAGTTTTGTGGCCCACTAGCCTTCCCTAAGAAGTGTTTTAATACCGCCGTAAACGTCAATTCGTTGAAGTGAAACAGACATATAAACCACTGCAGTGGTCGCTCCAACTTATGCTCTAAATTACAGATGGTACCTCGGCTTTTCCCAGTGTTACATCTCGTTCCATCGCAGTTAATTGCAATCAATTGCTCCAATGAATAATCTTCTCTTTTTAAAAAATCCATCATTTCAGAGGTAATTGCATCGCTGCTCCCGTTAGTAGGTGTTACAAAACCAATTAAACTCGAGTTAGGCTCTTTTACCATTGTTATATGTTCCTCTGTAACAATAATATTCCGCTGCATACCAATAACGACTACTTGTTTCGGCCCTCTTAAGCTGGCATTTCAGGGTACTATTTTATATATATACCCTATACCCTACCCCTACCTGGCTACGCCCATGTTCACACCCAAAAATTTTGTTATCATTCTGGTTCAAAAGTTTGAAATTTCGATTATTATTTGTTGAGTTTTTAAACAAAGTTTCAATTTCTTTGTACCATATTAGAAAAATTGATTTATATGGTTTTGATTTAAGCATGAAATATCAGGTAATATAATTAGTAAAAGTCTTGTGGGTGAAAAAATTCAAGAGTATTACAAAAAGTTGGTTTTTTGTAACTATTTTCCGTCTCTGTACTCATACGTCAGTATTAAATGTTAGTTTACACCTAATTGTAATATAATATTCAAAATTATTTTCAGGGAAATATTTTTTCATTAATCATTTAAGAAACTATAGTTCATTCTGTAATACAAACCCTATAAGTCAAAGTTCCACATTTTATATAAAGTACACATAAATTCAAAAAATGTTCATCAAAAATTTCAACTTTTTATTCACAATTTCTACAAAGTTTTCGAGTATGCAGTTTTGTAGCCTATTCAATTTAGTAACGCAAATTGCAAGTTTCAAATCGCTCAAAATTACCGTTGATTTTTTTTTAGAATTTTTTATGTGAAGGGTGTTGCGGGTTTCTTCCGTATAAAAATAAATTGTAATTTTTCGTTATATGAA